GAAAGGGGCATGAATTAATTCATCCTGATGGATTAATTCATTGATCTTCTAGTGGAACGAATAATAGTATTGAAGCCCCATCACTTCATCGCTAAAGAACAATCGGCTTTTGTCAAACAGCGAAAAGAGAATTTAGATAATGGAGAAGTACTAGTGCATTGTGATTTTTCGGAAAATTACGCTTTTGTGGCTCAAGATGCTACTCCAATCCTTTCATTACAATAATGACCAGTGTACAGTTCACCTCGTTGTGTACTACTATTGCGAAAAAAATGAAATCCAACATGGGAGTTTAGTCGTTTTGTCGGACAGTACGACTCACGATACTGCCGCTGTTTATTTGATACAGTAGATTTTAATACAGCATGTGAAAGACAACTGTGAAAGCGTGGAGAAATTATCTATGTCACCGATGGAGCTGAACAAAATTATAATAATCGTTTTCAGATCACGAATCGCTTGCATCACAAGACTGATTTTGGCATAGATGCGGAAGCCCATTCTCATGCAACCGCGCACGGTAAGGAGCGGAGTGTGACGGAGTGTGACGGAGTAGGAGCTGTCTTCAAGAGAGAAGCGAGACGTAAGAGCTTGCAAATCGTTCATGGTGAACCAATCCTCATGCCAGATGCTTTGTTTCGTGGACACAAGAGAATTTTGAAGGAATTGATGTGTTTTTTTCACCAAGGCAGAACACGAGAATATCAAAACTGAGTTGACAGAGAGATTTGATAGTGCCAAAGCTATTCCAGCCATTCAAAAACACCATTGTTTTATTCCGATACCGGGAGAGCAATTGTTAATTAAACGATATTCGGCTTCGGCTAACGAGGAGGTTTTCCCAAAGCAAAAACAAACAACAACAAAACGAAAAACCCACAGAAGACAGTAATCGTGATGTAAATAGGTGCATCAGTGCATGTTGGAACTTGTCGTCGAAGAGAGTGGAGAATTTCTCCGTATTGTAAAAATGTGAAAATATAAAATGTTGTCGTTATAGAAGTATAAAAATTGTTTTTTTCCCATACTTTTTCGTTAGTGGAAAGCACAGTGTGTTATTGAGAAACGATTTATAGTCGTATCAATAGTCTATTCTATCCAGCAGAACAGAAAATGTCTATTGACAAACCCCTTTTTCAGTAACAATAATGCAACTCTCCTAAACGACAGACAAACGTAAAAATTTCGAAGAAAAATTTTTTTCGGAGCATTCTTTCTCTCTTCCATGATGGCGTACTCTTTTGCCATCATTTATGAACAAAGAATAATAGTTGACAGACTGATTTCTTTGAAAAAAACCGATGGATCTCCCCTAAAAACTAAAAAACCCAAAAATTTCGAAAAAAAAAAATTTCCGGTGCATTGCTTCGCTCTTCCATTATGGCGTATTTTTTCATATCATAGAAGGATATCCTCTATCATAAAAAAAATATTTCGATCGAATATCGAGCGGCCCTTGAGTGAAAAAAAAATAAAAACGCGAAAAATTCTCGAAAAACCGGTCTAGGAGTTTTTTGACGGCTCTGACGTATTTTTATCTTGAAGTACGAGAAAAAACGAAAATTTGCTTTTTTTATTCATCAAAATCGGATGCTCCATTCAGAAGTACTGATTTTTTGAAAATTTCAAGTTTCGTAATGATTATCTCAGAAACAAAAAGTAGCAGGGTAATGAAATTTTGCATGATCACTGGCTATATGTAGTAGTTCAAAATGCACCTACTCAATGATTTTTCCCAGACGAAAAAAAATCCGGTGTGGCTGAGTTGACATGGAATGTCCCAAATACAACTGAGTGTGAAAACGGAATAATTACCGAATTCATAGCAGATTCAGGTGTTACCCAACATCTGACTAACTCAAGATTGATCTTTAACACTTTTGATAGTAATTGTAAAGGAATTATTAGATGCGCGAACAAAGATGAATCAGTAAATTTAAGATCAGAAGGTGAAGGCGATATTGAGATAGTACTGAATGACGGTAGTACATTAGAAATTAAGAATGTAGTATTCGCGGAGTTACTAACAGAAAATCTATTGTCGCTGAGTAAATTCGCGGAAATGGGGTTAGGAATTTATTTACATGAAAAGAAGAAAATAGGAGAAAAGGAGAAAAGGAGAAAATAGAAATTGTAAATAAAGAAACGAATGAATCCTTCTTAAAGGGAGTGTATGAAAGACCGTAATGCATGATAGAGTTGCAAATCAATAATAAAGGTAATGAGAGATCAGGGTATACAGTAGCTAAGAGAATGATTGCGAATCTTGCGGAAGGTGAAACTGAATCAAAACGGTACTGTACGAGAAGTACAACTAGGAATTTGATAGTTCCTGATAACATAACCAATGAGATTCAAGATGATACACCAAAGACAGATAACGAAGGAAACAGTGAATTGTCCGACAAAACTGTTGAAGTGGAAATGACTGAAGAGAGCCCAACAGATGAGAACGGTACCACGATGAGAAAAATACTATATGAACCGTCTAACTTTCATTTTCCTATTTGGAATCGCAAAATCCAAAACCTAGATGAGCTGCCCTACATAGAGACAAGTGAAGATTTGTCACCTTTCTCTGTTGATGTTGAGCGATTCAAAAGAAATAATCGGGCAATGCTGTGGCATGTTAGGCTTGGTCATGCATCACCTGCATGCCTAAAGGCACTTTAAGTCAAATTTCCACAAAACAAAAAGTTGAATGAAGCAGTATTTGATGAAACAATTCTAGACTGCGAAGTATACAAGATCGCAAAGTTTGATAAACTATCATTCCCAACGACGAGAACAAGAGCTACACAACCATTGCAAATCATTCACTCAGATACGATGGAGGTAATAAGCGCTAGCTCCTGTCCTAAATGTTACAGATTAATTTCGGTATTCATAGACGACTACTCCAGATTTGCGATGGTCTATCCCGTGAAATACAAGAGCGATACAGGTCGTTGCTTTGAAATGTTTGTGAGGTGTGGGCGAAATCTACTTGGATATGATGCAAAAGTATCCTACTTACGTTCAGATCAGGGAACAGAGTACACCGGTGGATATACCGTACAGTTTCTAAAGACTCTAGCTGCTGAGGCTCAATGGTCTAGTCCCGATACACCAGAGTACAACGGAGTCGCTAAAAGATTCAATCAAAAGATTCAAAAGAAGTTAAGATCATATATTTACCATGCGAAACTACCGGAGAATCTTTGGAACTAAGCAGTGACTGCTGCCGTGTACGCTTACAACCGAACGCCTCACAAATCAAACGAAACGGTAACTCTTTTGGAAAGATATGCTCCCAAACACAACTTTAACATCGATCAAATGCAAAGATTTGGATGTCTTGCTTACATCAAGATAGTGAGGAAAATAGGTCCTAAATTCAGACTTATAGGACTTCGAGTAATTCTTGCGGGTTATACTCCATCAGGTTATCAGTTCTTAAAACCTGACGATGGCAAATAGTATGAGAGATAAGCCAGGTTCAATGAGAAATTGGTATATGGAGATAAATACGGGAAAAACAGTATTAAAGATGTGCACAAGACAACGAGAAACTTGATGAGCAAAAGTGGTTTGTGGATCTAAATAAAGAAATAGAAAAGAGTGAACAGGTGTCCAAATCAGAGAGAGAGTCAGTCATACCTGAAAAAGAAATGAAGAGGAAGAGAGGCAGGCCAAGAAAAGAGGGAAAAACCCCGAATCAAAAGACAGTAACGAGAGATAACTCAGACCACATACAAGATTCAAGCTTTAAGGATCTTCCTATCACTGATAGTTTAACGGAAATTGCATCAAGTATGTATTATCTGAAAGAAGAACGCGTGACTAGTAGAGACGAAGTAAATGACGAGTTTTATCATGCTTTGCTGACTAGCATCACTGCTGATCCAGCGAACTACAAAGAAGCGATGAGCTCAGTAAATAAAGACGAGTGGGAAAGAGCAATCAAAGAAGAATTGAGTTCAATGGACAAGAATCATGTCTGGAAATCGGTGGAAAGACCAGTGGTCACTAACAAAAGACAGAGAATAAACATAATTTATTCTAAATGGGTATTCAAACTGAAGACTGAACCAAATGGAACGAAACGATTTAAAGCAAGACTGGTCATACGTGGCTTCAAAGATAAAAATGTCTACGAACTCAGCGAGACCTATGTGCCAGTATCAAGATTACCTTTGGTGCGAGATGTTGTCTCCATAATTAACAAACTTCACCTAGATGTGTGTCAGTTAGATGTAAAGACAGCTTTCCTCAACGGTGAATTAGATGACGCTATATACATGGAAATACCTGAAGGTGCAGATTTAACCGATGAAGAGAAACTGGAAACTGTAAACTGGAAAGATCGTTACATGGACTTAGAGTCAGTCCAAAGAAGTGGAACGAAAAATTCACCAAAGTAGCCTGCAGCTTAGGGCTGATTAACGCAGATTCAGAATCATGCTTGTTCATCTGGAGAAATGAGGAGAAAATTGTGATTTTACTACTTTACGGAGATGATATTTTACTGGCTGGGAATGATGTAAGAAAGTTAGAAGGTGTGAAAAATCAGTTAAGCCAGGAATTCGAAATGACAGTCATAGGTGAACCAAAGGAATTCCTTGGTATCTCTTTAAGACGAGACAGACATAATAGAATCATTGAACTGAGCCAGGAAAAATATAGGGGAGGATGGGGCAAAACGGCCCCCCTTCAATCGTCAATATTTTCCGATTCAATAATCCGATTGGGATGAGTTAGAGCTCGTTTTGAAGAATGAAAAATTATCTTCAAAATGAAGTTGAAACTGGGAATTTTCACAATGTCATTCACAAGTTATTGACAATTGAAGGGGGGCCGTTTTGCCCCACCCTCCCATATTCAGAAGATGTTGAAGAGATTTGAGTTTGACAAATCACATCCTCAGAGAACTCCGATGATAACAACTCAAGCAACAAATTACGCACGAAAGATGAGAAAAACTGATACAGCATGAGAGAATTCCCCCAAACAATACAAAGATGAGTTTCCCGTATCGTGAGGCAGTAGGTAGCCTGTTGTATCTGGCTGGTGCAACCAAATCAGACATATCATATGCTGTGAATGTCTTGAGCAGACAGCAGGTCAATCCTACTATTGAAGACTGGGGAATGGTTAAGAGAGTATTTAGATATCTAAAAGGTACCATAAATCTAAAGCTAAGATACACTGGTGAGTCTGAAGAAATTGAGAGTTTCTCAGATGCGAGTTTTGTTGATTGCAAGGACTCACTCACCACGTGTGGATTTTTGGTAAGACTATATGGTGACACAATTATGTGGAAGACTCTTGAACAAAATTACGTAGCATTATCCACGTGTGAGGCTGAATGTGACGATGAGTATCGCCAGTCAAGAGATGCTTTCAATTTATAATTCTATGAGATTGATTTTGGTTCATCCTCCTTTGCCGATGAAATTATGGTGCGACAATAGAGCGGCCATTATGAGTATTGAAACTAATGGGGGAAATAAATTGAGGCATGTTTTTAAGGCAAAAGCTCATCATATTAAAGAGTGTGTAAAGAGAGGTCTTATAGCGGTGGAATGGGTTAGGTCAAAAGAACAGTTAGCAGATATATTCACGAAACCTCTCCCATTTGAACTGCATAAGAATTTAACTGATGAGATAGTGAATTCTAAATTTTAATTATTAATTTGTGTATTTACAGGCAATAACTAGAAGAAGTATTCTCCCTACCAAGTTGAAGAAAGATACTGGAGAGTGGAGAAGGATGTCTGCGAAATTCAGTTTAAACTATTTCTTTTGTATTTTGAATATGCAAATCATTTATCGTTTATTTGTTCTTTAATTAAAGATTGAGACTTATTGGATACACGGAAGTTGTCGGGAGGGAGTGTTAGATTTACAGTACGCTAGCTCCATCTCCCGGTCTCAGGTTATACTTCCATGACGCGACTCTAGCGGCACTGATGTGCCAGCGTCGACACACGTACTTGCGTCGTGTCTCTCATAGAGAGTGAATCAGAAGATCGAAGAGCACGCTTCATGTATATTAATAAAGGTTTCTAAAGTGTTCAAACTCTGTGTTATTATTATCAATAACCCATCAGTTCAATAACTTTTGTATTTCTGAAACGGTACAGCCATTCCCATTTACTACTCTTCTTTAAAGCCTGGGTGTAATAATTTTTTCCCCCTTGAGCGATTTTATGCCATCATGTTTGGCGGTTGCATTAAGAATTAAAAAATCCCTAGTTGCGCCGTCGGTAACTGCGCGATTGACTAATAATGGTAATCGAACAGGTCCGTATGTAGGGGATCAAATCAGGGGGCCTAATTTTTCCTCCCCCAAAAATCATCACATGCATAAAAAAAAATATTTCTAAACAATGATAGAGAGATTTATATATGTATATATATATATTGCTAAAAAGAGGGATATATCGAGGTGCTAAATAGACAGGAAAAATTATGACGAAATGAACGCCAGTCATATGTAAGTCATGTGAATGTTTGATAGGATCATATAATGGTCATATGGGAGTTATCAATGTCATATGAAAGTTACATAGAGGTCATTCGGAAGTGTATAGCGGTCTGAGAAAATGAAAAGGTCGTAAGTGGCATTGTTCTCAATAATTGTTTTATATCAAAAGGGCTTTTTTTTCTTAGGAATCCCGGTTGATACCTTCATATCGTCGCCTTAGAATCAAAGAGCCGTAAGTGCTAAAAGACCTTTTTTGGAAGAGAAAGCCGTGCATGTCATTTTCGATGCGTTTTTGGATACTTTTCGATACACACACACACACACGCTACGGATCCTTTCAGCGTAGGAACGCCTCTACTACCTGAGAGTTTTCACAGTTTAGAAGGTGCTGCAACGTAGCGCGTATGCAGGTGGCGGATGGCAGAAAGCCCTCCCTGTTTCAAACTTTGGTTTGACACACAGGGTATCGACTAAATAAAATACGTCGGCGCGGACCAATACCTTCCGAGAAACTCAACTCTAAAAGTGGTGCGCAGGGTGGGCTCCCTATAACAGCCTTACAAAGTTTACAGTTGCTCTGTTTAACAGCCAAACTTAAAATGATCAGTAGGGATGATAACACGAAAATATCCCAAGTGGTAACCTCTCTTCGAGAGGTAAATCCTACCTTTGGTTCCGAGCAAGTGCAAGCCCCGGTGGCCAATGCCGGCTCCTTGGATTCTGGGACGAGCCAACCATCACACTTTTCAAAGGCGGACCACTTGGTCTCTGATGCTACAAGTGGAGCAGAATCTCAGACTCAACATGTGACGGAGCCTAGCGCGTCGAGTGGAGGAGTGGCGCACAAGCAGGCATGGGATCGCCATGAAGAGCTTATTGAAGACCTGTTACAGCAGCTAACAGACAAGTCTAGGCGAACCATCAATGAATGTATTCGCCAGCTCGCAAGAAGCATCCAGGCTTCTGCTAAGCGTCTCAGATCAATGCGTGGAGCCCTACCAAAACAGATGGTAGAGAATGCAGGATTTCAAAAGACGCACCAAGACCAGGATTTTCAAGACACTGGAGATAAAAAGAAGAGAAATCGGGAATCACCTGGCACGTATTCCGACTCTCTCAAGAGATCCAAGCAAGAGAAGACCCCAAGCCCACCCAAGCGGGTCACGACACAGTTTCAGGGGAGGGAGACGAAGGGGAATGAACCTTTCTTGCAGGAGCTCACCAAGGACAAACCACCCAAGGGTAAGACCAAGCAAGATAGGCACAACAAGGATGAGGCCAAAGAAGACCAAGGCTGGAAGAAGTGGAAGCGACGAAGGAAGAAATGTGACCCGGCTTCAAAGTCACTACGGGAAAACTCGAACCCGAAGCAGACACAGAAGAAGTTGGCGGCCAGGCCGAAAGAGTTGATCATTCGCCCAAAGGAAAAGGAGAAATACTCAGAAATCCTTAGGCGGGTTAAAATAGACAGGGCCTGCGAGAAAGCAAGGGAATGCATCGAGAAGATCAGACGTACAGCAACAGGAGACATGCTGATTATCCTGAACAAGAAGACGACCGTTGAGGGCTCCCAGATACGATCAGCCATTGTGGATCTCCTGGGGGAGGAGCCAGAAGTACTGAGTAAGGACCCGTTGGAAGATCTCGAGATCAAGGACCTCGACCTGCAGACGGAAAAGGAGGACGTTCTGGAAGCCCTACGTAAAGTGGTGGGTGAGGAGCATAAGATAGGCTCTGAAATCGTCAGATCCTTACGTATGGCATATGGAGGAACCCAAACTGCCTCGGTGACACTCACTGCAGCTGCCGTGAAGAAAATCCTGGGGGAGGATGATCACAGGAAGATCAGAATCAGCTGGGTGAACTGCCGTATTCGAAGAGTGCAGAAACCGGTCAAGTGCTTCAAGTGCTGGCACTACGGACACCTCGCTACTAAGTGGCCAAGCACAATTAACCGACCTGAGGTCTGCGTGAGATGTTCAGAGAGTGGCCACCAAGCCAAGGAGTGCCAGAAGGATCCTCTGTGCGCCCTTTGCACTGAAAATGGCAACACGAAGAATTGTGCACATGTCCCGGGTAGCAGTAGATGCCCAGCCTACAAAGAGGCACTTCAGAAGCTTACTAGCAAAAGGCGATCATAGGACCGGAAGGTGCAAGGTGTTACAGNGCATATGGAGGAACCCAAACTGCCTCGGTGACACTCACTGCAGCTGCCGTGAAGAAAATCCTGGGGGAGGATGATCACGGGAAGATCAGAATCAGCTGGGTGAACTGCCGTATTCGAAGAGTGCAGAAACCGGTCAAGTGCTTCAAGTGCTGGCACTACGGACACCTCGCTACTAAGTGGCCAAGCACAATTAACCGACCTGAGGTCTGCGTGAGATGTTCAGAGAGTGGCCACCAAGCCAAGGAGTGCCAGAAGGATCCTCTGTGCGCCCTTTGCACTGAAAATGGCAACACGAAGAATTGTGCACATGTCGCTGGNCCAAGCACAATTAACCGATCTGAGGTCTGCGTGAGATGTTCAGAGAGTGGCCACCAAGCCAAGGAGTGCCAGAAGGATCCTCTGTGCGCCCTTTGCACTGAAAATGGCAACACGAAGAATTGTGCACATGTCCCGGGTAGCAGTAGATGCCCAGCCTACAAAGAGGCACTTCAGAAGCTTACTAGCAAAAGGCGATCATAGGACCGGAAGGTGCAAGGTGTTACAGCTCAACCTCAGTCATTGTGAGGACGCACACGATCTGCTCACGCAAGCGGTGCGGGAGCTGAGACTTGACCTTGTCATGATCTCGGAGCCATATCGACATCTTGGCACTCAATCCTGGATTACTGACGTCAGTGGGAAGGCTGTAATCTGGGCTTCTGGGGATCGTTCTTTCCAGAGCAGCACAGGTAACGCACAAAAAGGCTTCATAAAGGCCAAGGTTGATGGAATTCAGTTCTACAGCTGCTACGCCCCGCTAAGTCTTTCCTTTGATGAGTTCACGGACTTGCTAGATCAACTGACCGAGGATGCGAAGCAGCACTTTCCCGTGACAATAGCCGGGGACTTCCACGCCTGGGCAGTTGATTGGGGAAGTAAGAGGATAAACGCCAGAGGACAAGCTTTACTGGAAGCCATGTCATCGTTGGACGTGGTTCTGCTGAATAGCGGCGATGAACCGACTTTCGTGAGGGGAGAGAAGAGCTCAATTGTGGACCTTACCTTCGTGAGTAGCAACCTTGCAAAAAGGAACTGCTCATGGAGAGTAGCTGATATCTACACTGCCAGCGATCACCGTGCGATAATCTGGGAGACATGTACTCGCCAGAGAACCGCCTTAAGGCCTAAAAAGACCAACTGCATTGGCTGGAGTGTGAGCACCTTCAATTCGAGCACTTTTTCAGCAGCATTGGATAGTCGCCCGATTAGCGGAAACAATGCTACTAAAAAAGCACACAACATCATGAAGAGAGTGACAGAAGCATGCGATGCCACCATGACCAGGAAGTGGAGCACAAACCAGCATCCATCGGTATATTGGTGGAATGATAGTATCGCCATCTTACGGAAGGACTGTAATAGAGCCAGAAGATTGGAACAACGTGGCCGGAAGAAGCCGAACTCTGAAGAACTGCGGATGAGGCATAAGAAGGCACGCCGTAAACTCAGCAGAGCAATCAAGTGCAGTAAGAAGCAATCTTGGAGTGAGCTACTTGTTGAGGTGGAAGATGACCCGTGGGGCAGACCATACAAGGTAGTGATGATGCGCCTAAAAAGCAAACGAATGCCGTTACCAACGTGCCCTGAACTGTTGAAGAAAATCGTCGTAGTGCTGTTCCCACAACAACCAGAACTACACCATACTANGGTAGTGATGATGCGCCTAAAAAGCCAACCAATGCCGTCACCAACGTGCCCTGAACTGTTGGAGGAAATCGTCGCAGTGCTGTTCCCACAACAACCAAAACTACACCATACTGGCGAGCAAGATGGGATGATGGCTCCACGAATCACCAAGGAAGAACTGATGGAAGCCTGCAACAGAGTGGGTAACACCAAAGCTCCTGGCCTAGATGGAATCCCAAATATCGCTCTGAAGTCGGCTATACATGCGATGCCGGAGCTATTCCTGGAAGTGTACAACGAATGCCTGCGAGAGGGCACTTTCCCAGCCACGTGGAAGTAGCAGAGGCTAGTACTGCTCCCGAAAGGGAACAAACCACCAGACGACCCTTCATCATATCGTCCCCTCTGCATGCTTGATACCGCTGGCAAGATTCTCGAGCGTATCGTCCACCAAAGGATAGAAGCCGCGGTGGAACCTCTAGTAGCCGGGAACCAATATGGTTTTCGGAAAGGTCGATCAACCCTAGATGCCATCAACCTTGTCATCGGTACCGCCAGGAAAGCGATTGCAG